AAACTCCTTTTTGGTCTTTCTTTTCATGCATCACTGTTGTTGACAGGCTCACGCGCGGAACTGTGTATCCATAATATTTATAAATACACAGCCACAGACTGGGTTAAGAAAAGAACTCACGTCAGTAGAGCTAATGTGATTAAAAGAGACATTTGAACTCTCTATAATTCAAGACAGATATGTTCATCTGAGGAATCCTGGAGTTTTGTTTCAAGCTTACTGGGCAAATAAAGCAAGGGTAACACCTCGAATAAATGTCTTATTGTTTAGAGGGTAAAGAATCTTTTGGTCGTTCATCTCAATCTAGGGGTTATATTGTCTTTTCCCCTACCTTGTGATATGGGCTTTGAATTTGAGACTTGGCACTGACCTTTAGAATCTCCCCCTACATTTATTAGATGAGGAAACAAAAGCTCAGAGTCATTTACTAATGTACCCAAGGTCACACAGCTTGCCAGTGGCGAGAGCATACTTGGTGACTGAGTTTCTTAATCCTGGTCCAGTGCTATTTCTAGTAAACTGCCATGGTGGAGTAAGTGGCAAGGTGACAACCTTTTTTCTTTTTAAGGGGAAGAAAGAGTTTCTTCTTTGCCTTGATACTAAAAATTAAATGAAAACAATGCTGTGGAAATAGGGACAGGATGGGATTATGCTGCGGATAAAGAATAAATTATAAAGTAAATGAAGTATGTTATTGTCAGGGAAATGAGACCAACTGCTTTTTTCCAAAGTGCCCTCAGGTACATAGAAGAGAAATAGATGCCTCCTAACCCTTCCACTCTCTTTTCCATGGCATTTGAAAGTGACAAGGGAACTGGGATCCAGTTCGGTGGGTTTCAGCCTATGTTTCAAGAGCCCCAGTGTGCTCTCACTGGAATCCCCCTCAGAGATGAGGACGGGAGGCGGGGTCTAGACTCTCTACTTCTCTGGTTACCCTACTCCCAGCATCCAAGGAGAGCTCTCTTTTATCTCTGTAGAACATTGAGGGTCTGGGTAGAGTTTTGTTCAAGGCAAAACAAAAGTACCGTTTCTAAAAAGGGTTTTGAAAACTACACGCCTAATTCGGTCCACTCATTGAATTATAGTTTATGAAGCTGAGACCCAGAAAGGTCACACTGAGTTAAGAACCAGGCACTACCTCACTTTTGCTAATGTCCACCCCTGCCTTTCCTGGTAACCTGGTCTCCTTACCCCCAGATGCACCTTTGACAACAACTGGACCCTCTAATCGAGGGGTCCTCAAACTATGGCCCGCAGGCCACATGCAGCCTGCCTAGGACATTTATCAGACCCGCCAGGTGTTGTTGCCACCGCTGCCTGTCCTGCTTAGCAGCTGACTCCTCCCAGGGCCTCGTAGTCCAGCCCTCCAACAGTCTGAGGGACAGTGAACTGGCTCCCTGTTTAAAAAGTTTGAGGACCCTTGCATCCCACATCCATCCAGTCACCAGGTTTTCCTGTTTTTGCCAAGGACTTTCTCCTTCAGTTCAACTAAATCAAGGGATCTGATTGTTCTTTTACTGGGAGGGTGTGAAGTAAGCCATTGTATTTCTGATCTTTTAAAAGACCTCACTACAGATAGGCTTCAGATTTCAGCAAATATTATTGTCAAACTCAGGCCATGGAGTGTTCCTTTAAAACCACTCCAATTAAATTTTTCTAGAAGGCCGACAGATTTTTAGAAGATCTTCCTTTACCCTTTTTTAATATTTCCTACAAATCAAATATTACCAAGGAACCAGCATTCTGTCTTTAATTGGGGTCTGTAGAAGAGTGAGTTCCCAGATGAATGGTACAAAATCCCTTAATCTTATCCAGGACTCCATTACCCCTGGGGAGCATGGGATGGTGCTTAGGCTTCCAGCAAAGCAAAGACACCCAGAGAAAAAGGGAAGAAAAGAGAGAGGGGCAGAAAGCTTTTTAAAACGCTCTGCTATTGTATATTTAAAATAAAAACACCTAAGTAGACATTATGGGAAAAAAATCAGAACTTGGTGACTTTAAAATTTAGTGTTCTCTTTGTTTCAGATTACTAGGGCTGTCACTTTACCCCTTTCATCCTTGGCCCCTGAGGTCTTTATCTGACCTGACCTGGCCCATCCCTTAGGCTTCCCTCCCAGATGCAGGAGAAAGCTGCTCTGAACAGCCCAAGCCTGGGTTTTGCTACTTCTCTTTGGGAAATGAATTTGCCCCAGGTGAAAGGTATTCACGAAATAGTTGGAGAATGAAGTCCCTTGTCAACTCACCAAACAGGCTCAGTAGCTCAAACTTCAAGGGGGTCAATTTCCCCTCTGTATATGAAGATTGGCCTTAAGGGGTTTGCCCCTGAGTTCAACTCTTCTTTGGCTTGGCTTGACTCCTCTGAAGCAGGACAGAAACCGTTTATGAAGTTCATTTTGGAACACAATAAAGGCCTACAAAGTAATGGATGGTATAGCTAGCTCTTCAGAAGAAATTCTAGCCAAGTTCTATTGGGGCATGTTTGTATTTAAGAAATAAAGAGTCGAGTCCCCAACCCTGGAAATGAAAGAACAGTTATCAAGAGAGATGTAGAAGGATTAAATGTGTTTTCTTTACCATTTTTACTAATGTATCTCAAGAATTCTGTCCTTTCCAAGAAAAATAGAGACAGAAATTATAGTATTTATCCTTGTGGATATAGGTCTGTGCAAATGATGTGTGATATTTTGTGAGAAGGTGTGAACGTGTGTACAGGACTAAAGTGTGAATTACTGATACGTATATGTAATTGATATATGTTCGATGTCTATGTTTGTGTGTGTTTCTGAGTGTGAATGCAATCCAAACAAGAATGTGAGTTTATAAATGTTTGGGTACTGAAAAGGTTAACCACACACAGCCAAAGCAGATGTTTTAATGAGATTGTAGATATTTCAGTAAGTGCCTTGACTTTCTTCAAATAAAGAAAGTACAGAAAAGGAAGTGAGTTACTCCTTTTTCTTTGAGTTTAGCAGCAGAAGTTACAGACTATCAGCTATGAAATATATATAGTTTTATTTTTTTTTTCTTTTTGGTGGGGAAATGATCATTCCTAGTGTAGATGAGAAATGAAACCTTCCTGTGAGGAAGTTTCCTGGCTTTATTGCTGATCTGTGTGCCTGGTCTAATTGCTAAGAGCTTAAACTTGAGGTATGGGGAATTAAAAGGGAAAAGTTCTTTTTTTGAGAGTAATTGGAGGGAAGCAGGGAATGGTGGGGGAACCAGGAGAGAGTGCAGATGATGTGGAAACTAACGGTGACTAAACAGGAGCTCAGCTCAGGTTTCCTCTGCTGAGTTCCAAGGAAAAAAGTGTGGTTTGGGTGAGTTGGTGGCAGAGCTGCCATTTTCTACCAAATAGCTGGCTGAGCCTCTGGGCCCAGTAGAAAATTCTCTGGTCTGCTAGCTTGGTAAGAGAGCTGGTGATCATGTCCCTGTACCCCCGCCTTCTCAGAGGGCCACTCCCAGCCCCACTTCACAGGCATGAGCCAAGACCAGTGAACCGTAATTTGGCCGGCTGGAAGATGTTGGGTGCCCAGTGTGGGTGGGTGGTGCAGGCACCTGGAAGGCCTGTGGGCACTGGCTATAGAGGAACTAGGTTTCACTGCTGGCCTTGTCTGGATGGGAGGAAGGGGCACATTGTCCTCCCAGTCTGGGGAGGGTACGGAGTCATGAGGAAGAGATTGGTGTGGTATCTACTCGCCCAAGGAAATGGCTGCTTTTGTTTTCACCCAGTAGGAAAATAGACCTGAAATCCACTAGATTCTGGGCAGTTCCACTTGGCACAGTTTGAACACTTTGGAGGCGCCATGCTGAAAAGGCTAGATGTGTGACTGCGTGGCTGTCCCAAACACCATTGTGCAGTGTGCCCTTCTTTTATGGATTTAAAGCCTGTCAGGCCGGTAATCTAAAGGAGAAGTCTGGAAGATAGTAATGCCAACAGACATGGGGAATAGTAAAGTGCACCTGTAGAGTTAAAAAATGCATGACCTGTTCCCTCAAAGAGCAAACACAGGAGAAAGACCCGTCCTGGAGGGCGGCTGCTGAGTCGTAATACATAATTCACGGCCCGTGCTGCTCCATGCAGATGGCGAGATTAAATCGTGATTGATGCTAAGAGACACCCAAGGCTCAGAAGGTCTCCAATAGGCTCGGAGTATTTCGGCATCTCTTGTGCCTTTCCGTCAGTCATCTGTCTGTCCTACCGTGGTGTTAAGCAATAACCCCTCCCCCCAATTTCCCAACAACCCCTGTTGAGGATCACAGAACTTCCCTCCTAAATAGATAGGATTCTTCAAATGTCATCACCCACCTTTTCTGCCTTTGAAGATGGCTTCCTTCCCTCCTGGAGCACAGGAAGCTGTTTACCTGCAGCCAGGCCCTGCTGAGAAGGGGAGCCAGCGCCTTAGGGATGCTTATGGCTGCACAAGGCAGCAGCACACTCTGGTGGTGGGGACCCGGCAGAGGGGACAGAGGGGAGAGAGCTCAGAAAAAACAGAGACCTCCACTCAGCACAAAGCACCTTTGTGGAAATTCTGAGGTTGGAGCCAGTGGATTCTCTAATACAGATTTTTCCACTCAGCATATAATGAAATAATAAATCAAATTTGCGGTATATGTGGAATTAAATGTTTGGGTTTTTTTTTTCTTTTTCTTTCTCAAAAAGGAAAAAAAAAAAAAAGCTGAAATCACCTTCTAGGTCTGTTCTGGCCCCAAAGCTTAAAGTGCTTCCTGTACACCACGTGTAATTGTTACCAGGCTCACTTGTGGGTCGGCACCACAAAACCACTATTGTTGGTTCCCGGAGCCTTGACTGCTGGCTGCCTGGGCTGGGCTGGGAGACACCGAATAAAATGAGGGATTTATGAGATAAAGATAGAGATGGGAGGTTTGAATGAGAAGATGGGCCAAGGATGGGGGCGGGGCAGGAAAAGGCAGAGAAGCATGTTCAGTTTGCAGTCTTGTTTTTTTAATCGCAGACCATGTAATTGGGAATATTTACGACCATGTTCTGGAATATTTTCATTTGTGTGTCTGTGTATAGTCGGGTGGGCAGCGGGAGGGATGAGCTGGAATAATCTCTTCCACCGAATGAGTAAGTAGGTTAGTCTTCTGGACTGCCATAAAAGGTCTGTAAAATAGTATTAATCAGCTACTGGTAGAGAAGAGAAGCAGGGAGTGGGGGCAGAAAAAAGCTGTCACATAACTGAAGTTCTCTGGGTTGTTGGTTTCTCTTTCAGACCCACCCTGTGGAGGTCGTTTGAATTCCAAAGATGCTGGCTACATCACCTCTCCCGGTTACCCCCAGGACTACCCCTCCCACCAGAACTGCGAGTGGATTGTTTATGCCCCTGAACCCAACCAGAAGATTGTCCTCAACTTCAACCCCCACTTCGAAATTGAGAAGCACGACTGCAAGTAAGCCCCATCCTTGTGGGACCTGTGGTGCATAGGGGACCACTCAGTGGCCCCCTGTCTGTGAGACTCGCCCTCCCCACCCCCGCCCATGCTCTTATCTCTTCTGTCACGTGAAGGCAGCACCTCTCACCCTAGGACCCCCTGCTGTGCTGAGCCCTGGGTTTCCCCTAGACAGAAACCTCAAGGTGACATTGTCTTTGGGGGGAAATAAAATGTGTAGTGATCCCATATATTGTGGAAAGAGCGTTTGTTAAGTGAAGAGTATAAAGAATAGCACCCCATCTTCAGTGGCTGGCTGTGGAGGAGGATTTGCATGTGGGGGTGGAGGGACTATAAAACTCCACCTCTCAACTTTGGAGCTTACCTTGCCCTTGGAGATTTCCCCATTTGCTTATTCCCCCATTGCCCACCAGCCTCCCCACGAAGATAGTAGCTGGATCCTCAAGTAGAGAGACTTCCTCTGCATCCAATAGTGAATGCTATTTTATTAAGAGACAGTAGGTTGCTTATAGAAAAAAAGTAAAAAGAAAAAATCGGAGTCTCTAATATGGGTAGATCGAAGATTTGTATTGATTCTTGATATCTGTGCCGTACAGGTTAGAGTCTCAAAGTTGGTGTTATGGATTTCTTTAACAAGCACTGTTCTAATTGCTTTACAAATATTAATCCATTCTCACAATGGCCCTTGGAAGTTGGCGCATTACAATCTCCATTATACGGAAGAGAAAATCGAAGCACAGAGAGGTCGAGTCAGTCACCCGAGGTGATTCAGCTGGTTGTACAAAATTGGCTCTGCCACTTGGAAAGTGTGTGACTCAGGAGGTACTAAGTGGACATTCAGACACTTGTGAGTGCTTTCCAAATGCCATGTTAACACCAAGCTCGCTGTAAGTTAAGGCTGGGAAGCAAGCAGTGTTGCCGTGTCAAGAATGCAGATGCCCTTTGTACTATCTAGTGAGCTCTAAAAGTCTATCCTCAGTGAATTAACAATCAGAGTTTGCCATGCAGAAAGAATGTGACAACCATCACACTCTGCTCCCATCACCATTGCTATGATAAGTGTTCAGTGCCCCCATATGATTAATAAATTTTCCGAGCATTCCTTGTGATGAAGGCATCATGAGTACTGAAAAATCACTAAAGGGGCCAGCTGGTGGGACAGGTACCAGGGAGCGAGCAAAATTCCTGGCCTGCATCTCAGAAAGGGCCAGGTCTGGGCCAGCTCCTCCCAGTGGAAGAAACAAGGGCCCTCTTTACCTAGTGCGAGACTGTGAGGCTCAGTGAATTCACGCCCTTATTATCCTCCCAGGACTACTTTGCACCTACATAATGGTTTTCTCCTAAGAAGACGTAGTCTTTGTTGAAAACCAGAGGGTTTCCCGGATGGACGCCTTATGTGCTGAAGAGTCATAAGACAGAGTTTCTTGTCCCAGAGCTACTCTTGATTCAGTGGATGACATCGGGTAACTCATGAGCTCTTCTCTAAGTTAAATGCCCACCCAGGATACATTTGCTCAATATCCCAAGGTTTCTGATTCCCTGGCCATGAACTTTACCAAGAATTTCTGTTAGAAGAGCTTTTTTATAAAGTGTTTTGGGTCCTGCTTCCTCTGGCTGGGCTGCAGAAAGTTGGCACAAATCAAAGCATAATGTACAGAGAGCTTGGGTGAGCTCAGAGAAATTTGACTAAGCACCTCTCCCAACTGAAGGCCAGCAAATACCTGTTATGCTTATGCCAGCAAATCTCCCAAGTAAATTGCTAAGAGGTCATCTTATGTATATTCATAGAGACAGGGAGAAGGCATGGCTTTTGGAAAGAAAAACTGGGGAGCTGGGGAGCATGGCTTTGAACCCGTCAGGAAAGACAAAAGGGCAGAAAAGCCTGCCCCTGGCCTGCTTTGGGCTGCACGGTACCTCTGTTCCTCATGGCTCAGCTCCAGAGATGGGGAGAGCTGAAGGTTGCCAGAGTCTCTGATGGGGAAGGGATTGGGCATTGGCAAAGCCCGTGAGTTACAGGCCATCTTCTGCTTTGTCCTCACTAAGTCGCTCCCAGTGTTTCTCCGCACTCCCCCGTCTCATCCTTCTGGCTTAAACTTAAGAGGTCAGGAAGGTTAGAAAGAAATCTTCCTGGGATTTAACTGTTCTTTCTAACTGTTAGAGAGGCTCTGTTGGGATTAAGCTGCATCTACTTAACCTTGTCTTTAATTCCCCGTCCCACCCCCATTTCTCCTCCACTCCGCATCTCTCTCTCTCAGTAATTTTTGTATTTAGGACAACACATCCGGTTTTCTCAGCCTCACCCTCTTCAGTGTATCTGTGACAATTCCCCTGGGCCATTTGTATTTGGAATAAATGGGCTTCCCTCTCTCCGCTGCCTTGTTGTAGTTCCTTGGGAAAGGAACAGTTCATCTTGGTGGCGTCCTGGAAGTTCTGTCTTATTCCTGCTCTCCACCATCCTGCTCCCTCTCTCTTCCATACTTTCTTTTCATTCCAAAGGAGCTCCTGGGTTTGGAAAGCACCTGCTATCGAAGGAACTAAGCCTGCTTCCTCCTTCCATGTTGGGAGCATGTTGCAAATTGGATTTGGCTCTCAAGGCCCAGCATGTGGGTGGGTACTTCCCAAAAGAAAACTGCCTGAACCAGGGCTCAGGCCTGTAATCCCAGCACTCTGGGAGGCCATGGCAGGTGGATCCCTTGAGCTCATGAGTTGGAGACCAGCCTGAGCAAGAGTGAGACCCCCTCTCTACTAAAAATAGAAAAACTGGTGGGGCTTGTAGTCCCAGCTACTCGGGAGGTTAAGGCAGGAGGATCACTCAAACCCAAGTGTTTGGGGTTATTGTGAGCTGTACAGCATCTTACTCTATCCAAGGTGACACAGTGAGACTGTCTCAAAAGAAAAAGGAAAAAAGAAAACTGCCTAACCTGTCCTTTCGATGGCAAAGGACAGCAGCAACACCCAGCAAAAGGAGAAATGAATAAGGAAGTCAGGAAAAGAGGCTGGCCCAACCATGGGGAAAGGGCGGCAGTCAGCATGCCACCTGCGTGTTTTCCTTCTTTCTACATACCGGGTTAACTGCAAAGACTGCCCATGGCCTGGGAACAGGGTCCCCACATATAAGGATTCTCCTGGGCTGTGGCCCCCATGCCCTTGGCTCTCTATGCTTTGATATCTGCATCCCAAAGGTTGAGGCTGTTGCTGAGTAAACCCCAGACAGACCTCTTCCTCTAACTGCCATTTGTTAATTTTGTTCCATTTAAGCCTGCTGTCTGCTTGGAAAATTTCGCTCATGAGCTTCAGCTTTGCCTGAGTCAGTGCAATCCAAGGCCATGGTTGAGCTTCCCCTGACTCCTGTTTCCAACCTCTTGCAGCCACCCAAAGCCTGAGCACCCACAGGCTGTTCTGGGGTCTAGTCACCAACTGTGGTCAGAAACCAGAGGCTGCCGTGGCACTGCCAGACTCCTGTGGCCGAAGGACAAAAGGGCAGGACTCAGGGCTGTCTGGGCAAACAAGGAACGGGAGATGAGAGGATGCGGCCGCTTCACAGACAGAGGCCTTTCTTTTGAGTCATCGGCTAACAGGCTGAATGTTATGGTTTTAGAAATACATACACAAAGTTGTGGGTTTTTTCTATTTCTAAAATTGAAAAAGTGTGTATTTTTAAAAACACCCACTTGCATATGATACACAGTTTATTCATGAATCCTCAAACAGGCAGGGTGCCCACCCATCCCAAAGGCTCGACCAAACAGAACCAAAACCAAAAGGCTGGGGCCTTTTTAAGAACTGGTCACTTCCAAGTGGTTTTCAAAAAGTGCAGAAGCCCCTAGGAAGACTTAAAAGAACATTTCCTAGCCTGGAAATCCACAAGGAAGTTACACTAATAATTTTATGTGTTATGTTTAGCACAACAGCTCATTTGCCACATATCATTGAAGAACAGCCCCCCATCTGAGTAGAAATTCTAAATACTGAAACATCCCCCTTAACATTCTAGAAGTTCTTTTTTTAAAGAGTTTCTGATAAAAAACATTCTCAGTCACGTGCCACACTTCCCTGTCTTCTTAAATAAAACCAGCGCTAAAGGGAGTCAGTTTTTTCTTGATGACTCAAGCTTCTAATTCTAAAGTTCACTTTTGTGACAGAGGCCAGGTAATGTCATATTTGGAACAGATAGATTTAGACTTGAAATTGTGTTGACCTTTTAAACTTTGCAGACCTTAGGTTCCTTATCTGCATAAGTGTGATAATAATAAGTACCGTAGAACCTCCATAGTTAATTGACCACCTCCCTAACTGACCACCTCCTTAAGTTGACCTAATTTTCACAGACCAGACATGCACCCCATGTACTTATCAGTACAGCAGGCCCAGTTGCCTATGTTGACCACCTTCGTGTGTTGACCAGTTTGTTACAGTCCCTCGGGTGGTCAACTTACAGAGGTTCTACTGTACTTTGCAAGATTGCTGCCCCTTATTTACGTAGATGTAGAATGAATTAGCAGTTGTGTCCCCGTCTTCATGCTTTGTACTTCGGGACCATTTTCTATCCGTACTCCCCTCTCACTTCCCATTATGAGTGTGCCTGCCTCTCTTAGCTTAGCTGCCTCTGCCAGCTTTCCTCTTCCGACTCGATTTTACCTTTTTATTCTGTGTTATCAGTTTTGCTTCAGGGGGTCTTGCTGTCTATTGGGAAGTGTGGGTTCTGAGACCTAAGCTTTGCCCCAAGCCGGTGAATCCCAGGGCCAGCAGACTTACCGCAGAGTGAGGATGGGGAGTGATCCCAAAGTGGCAAAGGGGAAGAGCAACAGAGCATGGGGTTCTCGGCATTAAGTTAGCGACTTGTGATCTTTTCTTCTGAACCCCTCACACCCTCCATTCTGGGTGTTTAAGGTTTGGATACTTGGCCTTCAGATGAGCAAGGCACTCTTGTGTGTATTTACAGCCCTCTGCATCTTGGAAGATGAGTCTGTTTCTCCCAAAGTAAGGGATGATATAGAAAG